GGGGAGTTGTGAGGGGCACCAGCAGGGCTGTTGGGGGGGTTGTGGGAGGGAGTTAGGGGCATCAGTGGGACTGTGGGTGCTGTTGGGGTGAAGTGAGGGTCACCAGCAGGTCTGGGGGGTGGCTTTTATTTTAATCATGGATTTTGAGGGGTTTATTAGAGAATTTGCAACTTTTTATCAGGGAAGACCAGGATCCCTGGTTATAACCCATCTGTGTGCTTTAACTCCACCTTATGCATATTTCTTGATCCTGTGTAGAAGACAATTTAGATGTACAATTCTCAGCTAGTTCTGAAATACTAAGCATTAGAGGGATAGCGGTAAGTTAGTTTTGTTGGTGGAAAATTGTGGTCTTTTTTCCCACTCTTTTGTTTTTATTTTGTATTTTGCATTTAGTGGAAATGGGTACATGGTAGAAAATGACTTGGAGGAATGGGACAAGGTATGGTCTTCTAACTAGAAATGGTTATGCTCTGAAATAAACACCCTTTCTAACCACAGCACTCTCTCTCAAATAGCTGTCTCAGTGCGCACATGCAGATTACACTGACCACAGATACAGATCATTTTAGAATAATTTGATGTGAAAAAGTTTAAAATGCATAAAGAAATTGTTGTTAAGTGACGTATAATTGGTTTTGAGTTGTTACCTGTAAAATATGTTAATAAAGTATTTTTCTTAGTCTGTTAAGTTTAAATCTTGACAATTTGTCACCTTTTCTATCTTCAGGCTCTGGAAAATTAAGGTACCTGCAAATTCAGATGACATTGTAACAATTATCCGTGGAAAGGCAATAGCTTTTCAAGATTGCTTTGTTCAAGATACTCCTTACATGCTTTCCAAACCTGAACAGCCATTTTTTAACAATGCAAATGACATCTCCCTCTCTTCACCAGCTGGTAGTGACATCTACATTGTGTGGTCTGCATGCTTTCCAACAACTGCACTTGTGTTGACAGATTTTGGAACTTTCCATACAAATGACGGATTCAAAACTTCTAAAGAAATAAAAGCTCCATCACACATTTTGACCTCTAACTTTGCTCAAAATGTAACTGTTGTGGCTTTAGCAGATGATGGAATCTTGTTTTTAATAAATGGAAATATTTACAAACGAGAGTCTAATGGTTTCTTTAAACTTGGAACAGACTATGATATACCAGAAGGAGAAATTATTGGAGTACAGTCAAGGGTTTGGTGTCCATCTGAATATCCAATGAAGGTAAGTCTTAGTAAAGTTTCATTTTACAGTTTGAAATATATAAGTTCACTAGATCTGTAAAGTTTTCTGTGTTTTCTCCAGCTATAAAAAAGTATTTGGAATTTAAGGTGGCTTAAATGTAACTAACTTATTTTCAGATCACTTAAAAATAAAAGCTTGAGTTTGTAACTTGATTCCAGTAGCACTTTATCAATTGACTGAAGATCTATCACAAGGCTTTTTAATAGAGATGTTGACATGTTTTATTAACTTGTTTGTTACTATGCATCTAATTGGGGGGTTTTTTCTTAACAGAGTGGGAGAAAATTAAGTACAACAGCAATATGGACATCAACTGAACTGCACCTTGGATATGATGACAATGTTTTTATTGAAGTAACAGATACATCAAAGCTACAAAAGATCCTAGGATTCCCAGAGAATGTTTCCTTATCTCTAGGCACTGTTTCCTATGACTCATGCCCAGCTGAAATTGCTTTATTGGTGGCCTGCATTGGGTGCAGCTCCTCCAGGATGTTTTATGTAGTAACATATAATGAAGATAGGTATATGTGGGTTCTGAGAAACTTTTTCTTAAGTGCTCCTTCCAAGGGTTTTATGAAGATGGAATTCATGTATTCAGCATTGCCATCAATGCTGCTGTGGAACAAGACATCTATGTATTATAGCTATAGAAACAACACAGCTTATGGATTTCCTCCAGTGCATGAGACAAATATGTCCCCAGCCGAATATACTAATGGGAGCAGTATTCACCAAATTGTAATAGGTTAAGTATACAGTGTTGTTTTTTGGTATAATTTAAGTATAAGGCAGAAGTAAGTAAGATGATTCCTAAAAATCTCTAGCAATTATTTGCTATTATTTATTAAAATGATTAAACTCAGGGGACTATAAGGATTAAAATGCATCACTTTTAGCTGGACAGAAATATTTATAAGGTAATTAACTGATATTTTTCCTTCAAGTACTGCCAACATGGATTTTTTAGAAATGTGTGCCACTAGTAAGGAGTCCAGGTTGTAGCTGTATTGGTCAAGAGGAAAAAGCAATCAGGGCTTATGGTAAAGATGATATCTTTTATTAGACAAACAAGATTTTTGCAAAAAAAATATTTAATTGCAAGCTTTTAAATTGCAAAAAGCTTTTAATTGCAAGCTTTTAATTACAAGCCTTACCACTAGTAAGGAAGCTTTTAAACAGCAGTACTTGATACATGTCTCTGATATTTTTGACATTTTTTCCCACTGATCTTTTTTCTTCTCCTGTCTATTGGTAATATTTATTTAGCTGCAATGGTAGGGTAGTGCTTGAAAATGTCTTTAAAATCATAGAAAATTAGGGTTGGAAGGGACCTCAGGAGGTCATCTAATCCAGCCTCCTGCTCAAAGTAGGACCATCCCCCATCACCCCACCCAAGGCTTGGTCTAGCTAGGTCTTAAAAACCTCCATGGGTGGAGATTCCACCACCTCTATCAGTAACCTGTTCCAGTGCTTTACTATTCTAATGAGAAAATTCTTCCTAATATCTAACCTAAACTTCCTTTGGTGCAACTTGAGACCACTGTTCCTTGTTCTGTCATCTGCCACCACTGAGAACAGTCTAGCTCCATCTTCTTTGTAACTACTCTTCAGGTAGTTGAAGGTTGCTATTAAATCCTCCTTCAGTCTTCTCTTCTCCAGACTAAATAAGCCGAATTCCCTTAGTGTCTCCTCAGAAGTCATGTTCCCCAGTCCCCTCAACATTTTCATTGCCCTCTGCTGGATGCTTAACTGTATAGTAGCATAATTTACTAAGCAGTAACAGTGTGTGTCTACACATGTGCACATTTACTACACAGTAAAAATGCTTAATTATGCATAAATTTGCTACCTGCAAATGCAAGTAGCAAATGTATGCACAGTTAGTTACTACACAGTTATGGAAGTGTAGACATGACCCGGAAACAAGTTTGCTCTTAGGTAAGCCCTGCCACTAGGGGACCAGCCTGAGACTAGCTCCAGGGCTCCAGGCTGGGAGCCTCTCCTGCCCCACGGCTGGGCTGCCTCTATGGCAGCCTCTGCCTCAGACTCGAAAAGCAGGGAGCCTGCAGCCGTTCCAGGCCCCTGTGTCCTCCTGGGCAGGCCATAGGCCAGTTGTCCTAGCCTGCTTGCATCCCGACTCCACTGCCTGGCACTGCAGTGCCATGCACCTGCCAGGCCTGTGCCATCCAGGCCAGCATGGTGCTCATTGACCATCAGGAATGTTCAGAGCAATTTAGAAGAAAATCAAGGTTTCAGAAAAGAAAGTATTCTTCATCCTATACCAGTGTTTCTCAGCTGGGACATGCACAGAAGCAACAACTTCGTGGGATACATGAGAAGACTGATCTGGTTCACAATATTCTATGTCCTGTTTCCTCCTCCATTTGGTTTTCATTCTTTGTTCTTTAAGGAAATACATGATAGAATTACAGCAGACCAGCTGTCATGCTAATAATTTTGGGGTAGTTTTAATGATCCATGTGTATAATGTGTTGCCTTATCTCACACTCCCAGCCATGTCAGTCTTTAGAGATTGTTCTAGCAAGAGTCTTATAAGGTAGATTTATGTGGGGCAGAGGTGGATTAAGATTTATTGGGTCCCTGGGCAAACATAAAATTGGAGGCCGCCTGCAGAAGCTGGACTGCAGCAGGGGGAGGGGCCCCTTCCTTCCTGGTGCTGCCGCTGCCAAGGGTGGGGCAGGCCTGTGTGCCATGCAGGGGAGGCTAGGGTGGACCCAGCCAGGTGGGGGGTGGAGTGGCACATGCCCACCTCTCCTCCCTGCTCCCCAGGCTCCCGCCCAACCACCACCACAGCCAGAGCAGAGCCCAGTGGGGTGAGGGCAGATGCAGGCTGTCCACTGTGGGCTCAGGATTCTCCCTCCTCCACCCATGCCCCCTGAACAAGCCACCTCTAGCTCTGTCCCACTCCCTGCCCTCGCCCCAGGTACCATGCCCTGGCTGGGCAGTGCCCCCAGTCCCTGCCCCACTCCCTCCCTCACTGTGGGGGCCTCGATCTGTTCCCCCATGACCCTTCCCTCCCCCACAGCCCTTCCCTCCCATTAGACTTACCTGCAGGAAGCTGGCTGCTTTACTGTTCCTGGCCTTGCGTAGCCATGCACATGCACCGGGGCAGCACTAGGTGGGGCTTGGGGAGGCAATAGCCACTCCAAAATTCACCTTAGCCCCCCCATAGCCAGCCCTCCTAGCACCACTACCACTGCCTGCCCACCCCACTCCCACCCACAGCCCACAGAGGTATGGCACTCCCAGCCTGGCCAAGCACAGCCCTGGCCCTGCCCCCGCACCAGGAAGAGGCTGATGCCACCCCTGCATCTCCAGGCAGCTCCAAGCAGGACCTCTTGCAGGCTGGACTACTGTGCACCTGCAAGACATCCAGGGCTCCCTGATTGGCAGGGGCCCCTGGGCCCAGGACCTGGTGACCCATACATTAATCTGCCTATGATGGGGGTGGTGAGGGGAGCCCAGGGGATTCCTTTTTTTCTCTTTTTCTTTATTTTGCCTCTCTGAGACAAGTTGTAATCTCTTTCAGTTTTTGTCTTTCTTTAGAGTGGAATATGATAAATCCTAGAAAATCTATACTTTGTGTCCATCCATCTTAACTGTAGACTGCTCTTAGATCTTCTCATGATCTGTTTCTATTCAAAGTGATGCATTCTTAGAATTATGTCTCTATATCTATTTGTGTTGGGAAAATAAAAAGGTATACGTTATCTATCTATAGATATTAATGCATTTGTCTCCAGTTTTAGGAAGATTTGTAGTGCTTTTTTGAGACAGTAACTTATATTCTTAAGACTATTTTAATTACTACCCAAAAAAAACCTAAATCAATAAAGATGGATTTTTTTTTCTTGCAGATTATTCTGGAAACATCGTGATCAAGATGCAAAATAATATCATGTTTTTTTTTAAATTTGACTTAATAGATGTTATACTGCTCCCTAGATGGGAAAATGAAAGTAAAAACACAGTCCTTTACTTGAATCCATCTGGTAACCTTTACATTGTGGTCATCAATAGGTCATCTGGTATACACCGCCAGAATTATCCCTTGAGAATGGAAGTACATGGTGCCTCTTACCGCCTTATTGATGAATGCCCATATCTAGCATTTCATCACAACATAGATTTAAATGTCTATTATCTGGACAAAGGGGATGAAGTGACATTTTGGGCACAAATATTATTTCAGGAGAATCTGGGCGTATTTGTAGATGTGAGAATCCACAGGCCAGAACTATTGAAACGGGTGACACATGTTGCGTATGAAATCGCTCATGAAATCTGTACTAAAAACCAGGTGAGTTATGTGAACATGGTTCCTATATATAACAAGTTTCTTTCTAAATAATATATTTTGATATGCTTTTTTGCTTTGCTCGAGCAATGTTTTGCACAGTTCTTAAGACATTGTTAGAGGGGTGTGGAGTGGCTGCTTCCAGCATCTTCAGGCTTATCTTCTGGCAGACTTGCTGAGGCCCTACAGCAGAGTTTCTACTAGCAGAAATCTAACTTGGAGCCATCCCTTTTTTGCTAAAATATTAAACATATTTTTTGCAGTTTAAAATGTGTTTACTTACTCAGTAAGAAAAATCACTAGTTAATTATAAAGTAAATGTTATTGCCCGTTACCTTCATCCCAAACATGCTTGCATTTAAAAAAAAATGCGAAGATCTGGAATGTGCAGAACATAAACTACAAACATGTAAACACAGTGTATGTACAATTCAAATTCCACCTGAGAAGACAGGTTCAGCAGCTCAGGGATCACAAATTCTATGATGCATGCATAAAAAAAATTCTATGAGACTTGTAGGCAATATGGAACTGATTTTATACATCACAGGTGTCAAACTTACAGCTCATGAGCCAAATATGGTCTACAGAGCCATATCTTGTGGCCCATAGGAATGGTAGAAGAGCCAGGAATTTAGGGGCAGGGCTTGCAGCCAAAATTTGGGGCACAGAATCCAAGTGGACATGCATGTCAGCAGCAGGAGGCAAGCAACAGCTTGGTTAACCACTGTAATCCTCCTGGTCACCACAACTTTTTCCATCCCTTGGGAGCTCCACAGTCTGAATCTGGCCCAGGGGTCAGTGTGAGTTTTACACCCCTGGTTTACATAATGAGTTCAGGATGACCGTAAGCTCCATCTAGGACCCACGTTGAAATTACATCTTATTTAAGATCTTAGTATCATTAAAATGTCCTCGTTCTATACTGTGAAATTTGTTGTTTAAGGATTTTTATTAATCATCATTATTTTTTATTCTTTTAGACGATTAAATTTTATCAAAATGTTGACTATAGCGAATCACTTGATTATATGAAGACAGTGTAAGTACTGAGAAAATTTTTAAGATAGTTAAAATGATTAGATGGTTGGCAATTTACACGTATATTAAATATGTGGCCAGTAGTTTTGATGAGTATAGCTTAAAAGTTATTTAAATCTGTAGAGTTAAGGGCAAGTGTTACAAATTATAATTCTTAACTGGGTGATATCACAGAATAGTGCTGTTTCTAGTGGGGTCCTTCAGTGATCGGTGCTTGGTTCAATTTGTTAAAGTTATATAAAAATATTAATCAAATCCTTGCTGGAAACATTGCAAATGAAATAAAGATTGGTGGGGTATCAAATAAAGAAATACAAAATTAAAATATTTATTGAATGCTTGTCCTCTTCTGCATTATCAATAACTATATTGTGTCTATATAGTAATGAACTAGCATTAAGATGCCTTTTGTTCCTAGTATATTTAACAAACATTTTATATTTAATTATATTATATTTAATTCTTCTGGCCATTAATTTTTACCTGTTTTTCCTTCCCTTATCAAATTTTCTATAATTCTTATCTGCCAATTTATTAATCATTATCAGCTTTCCTTTTCGTCCATTTCTTATATATGCTTTTAAATTTTATAGCTCTTTTATTTCCCACCTATGAAAGTAAAATGTTTTTAATTCCCAGTTATAATTTATACTTTTTTCTTTAAATTATTTCTGCCAATTGACTGAACACCTCATTTTTTCACCCTTGCACAGATCTTTTAAAGCATCAAGCATAGACATATTTCTGGTTTGGACTTTTATTCTGTTTGCCTATAATAATTGTGATCAGTTCATGATTACTTAATCTACTTATACCTAAGCAGCTAGTATTTTTAATTCTAGAATCAATTCCTCTCCACCTATTAATATGTAGTCTCACAGAATTTTCCTGTGTTGGTTATAATACTTTTCAAGTTAGGAGACTGCCATCTCTAATATTGTAGAAATTGTGATGGTAATGTAGTACTAATGTCAGTACTACATAGGTCATTCCAGCATAAGTTACTCATATGTAATATGGTAGGCATCTTGCAATCCCATACTTCAATTTTATTGGTAACCTGTAGGGACCAGGATGGAATTTTCCTTCACATGAATGCTACTAGATTCTGGAGAGGTTTTTCATCTTACTCTGAACTACTAGGATGTAGACCACACCAATACCTGATGATTACCTATCACTCATGCTGGTACTTCAGAAACTCAGATGTGTCTTCCTTACAGGATCTTGGTCTTTTGCTCAGGGTCAAACCAATCACCAAATTTGGGATAAGAAAGGATTTTTTCCCTGTAAGTCAGGCTGGCAAGGACTGTGGATTATGTTAAGATGTTGTGGGGGACCCAGGAACCCAAGTTTCTCCCCTTTGTTTTGCTGTGTATTTTAGGGCCCCTCTATACCTGCAGGTGAAGGTACAATAGGATATAATGCATAATCCACACAATCGTGCCTCCTGCCATGCCACATATGTATAGCAGGAGGTCTGATTGTGGGATCGTGAATCAGATCCCCGCACACCTTACTGGTGGTGCAGGGGCAAGAAATAAGCTCCCATAGCTGGGAGCCTGGGTCATCTGATGGGGCTCCCAAATGTGGCGGTACACTATACACTCCTGCAGCTGGGAGCTCCATCAGCTGACCTGGGATCCCAGCCACAGGGCACTCCGCGGGTCCTTGCAGCAGGGTGACCACAGTTGACATGGTTTCCCAACCATGGGGCTGCTTCATGTAACCCTGTCACTATAAAACCACAGCTAATGTGATCTCCCAGCCATAAAGGCACATGAAGCACCCCCAGAGCTAGGACACCATGTTAGCTGTGGTCTTTCTGCCATAGGGACCTCTGGGAATAAGTGGAGTTGAAGCATCTCCACAGATGAGAGATTGCATCAGCTGTGGTCTCTCAGTCATGGGGATGTCTGGAGCACCTCAACAGCTGGAACTGTACCTCAGCTGCAGTCTTCTGGCCATGGGGATGCATGGGACAACCCCATGGCTGGGGCCCCTGTCATCTGATTGGGTTTCCAGTGCAGGGCCTGAGAGCCAGCATCAGCAGGGAGTTCCCAGGCTCAGAGGTGCACATGGGCCTCCCCAGCTGGGAGCTACAATCAACCCAAACCAGCTCTTCGCAGCTCCAGCAGAGGAAGGTCTGCCATCCTTTGGGGTTATCACCCTGGGTTTGCTAAAACAGAAGGCAGATCCCCACTTCGATGAAGCAACAGTTGCTATGTCATCATCATGCTTGTCACAGACAATCAACAAAGCTAAACAGCAAAAGGATTTTATTACAAAACAGGTATAACATGCAAGCAAAAGTAACTATAATTTGAGAGAGAGAGATAAGACAAATATAAAAGGTCAGAAATACAAGGTTTCACACTACTTTTCTATATAGAAACAGCTTCAGAACAGTCCCCTGTGACCAGCTATTTCTCTGCAGATGACTTTTCTTGGCTAGCAGCCTGCCAGTTCACTGACTCCCTCAGCTTGTGCCAGCTGAGCCCGAGATGGGATTCTCAAAGTTTTGGGAGCATCTAGTTTCTTTACCAACTCAGAAGCTGGGGCCCAAAAATGTCCCTCTTTCCTAAAGGTTTCCTGAACCCTGCTGTGTTGTAAGGCACAAGATGTTATACCTTCCAAATCTCCTTCTTATTTCTGGGGAGAATTAATGTTATATAGATGAGTTTTCTCTTTCCACCAAGTAGGACACGACTAATGGTGCATCTGCCCCTTGTGACTAATGGTAACTTTCTGAACAAAATTTTGGGGCCAATCTAGTCAACCAGTGCTTCAATCCATACAAGGAGCAATACGTGGCCTTTTCTGAATAGGAATGTCTACTATCGTTCAAACACACATCATCAACTTTCCTCAACTTTACGAAAGCTGACTTTGATAAGCTCAGGAGGCTTGTTGTCGAGGCCCTAAAGGACCATGACTCAACAGGGGGGGAAGTCCAAGAGGAGTGGTTGCTCCTTAAGGGAGCAATCCTGAAAGCACAAGGGGTGTGCATCCCATCTCGGAGAGAAGGTAGCAAAAGGGCACAACAACCCCCTTGGCTCAACAGGGAACTTGTGGACCTCCTATGCCTAAAATGAGAGGCTTATAAAGGATGGAAGACAGGAATCACCACTAAGGACAAGTATTCTGCACTGGTCTATACCTGTAGGGAGTGAACCAGGAAAGCCAAGGCTGCAACCGAACTCCAACTGGCTACACGTATCAAGGACAATAAAAAGTCTGTTTTCAGGTATGTGGGGAGTCGGAAGAAAAGCAGGGATAACACTGGACCCCTGCTAAACCAAATGGGACAACTGACATCCAGGAAAAAGCCAACCTGCTTAATGGGTACTTCACATCAGTTTTTCATCAGCCCAAAGGGACCTCCCTGCCTCGCATGATGCGGGACGGTCAGGATGAGGGTGAATTTATACTCAGCATCGGTGTAGACAGATTGCACCCCAGCGTACTTAAGGAGCCCAGCCAGTGACAAAGATATTTGAAAACTCATGGCACTCAGGTGAAGTGCCTGAAGATTAGAAGAAGGCTAATGTGGTGCTCATCTTCAAGAAAGGGAGGAAAGTACAGCTAGGGAACTACAGGCCAGTCAGCTTGACCTCAATCGCTGGAAAGATTCTGGAAAAAATCATCAAAGAAACCATTCTTGAAAATTATCAAGGCAACCCTTCTGGATAAGCTGGCTGAGGGCAACATCCTAAGGGACAGCCAGCACAGATTTGTTGTGGGTAGGTCTTGCTTGACCAATCTCATCTCCTTCTATGACCAGGTGACATACCACCTGGACAAGAGAGAAGAGATTGACATCATATATCTGGACTTTTTTAAAGTCTTTGATCTGATTTTCCATGATCTCCTCATAGAAAAATTGGCCAATTGTGGCCTCAGCTACATCACAGTCTGATGGTTGGGGAATTGGTTTGGCAGCCAAACCCATAGAGTGGTAGTCAATGGAAGTGAATTATCATGGTGCACCATGACCAGTGGTGTCCCCCAAGGCTCCATCCTTGGATCTGTTCTCTTTAACATCTTTATTAATGATGTGGACACCGGTGTCAGAAGTGGACTGGCCAAGTTCATCGATAACACTAAACTTTGGGGTAGAACATCCACACCCGAGCAAGGTTCTCTCCGAGGTACACACATGCGTGGCTGCACACAATTTAAAATCTTGCCGTGCACCAACTTCTTAATGCCGCGCACCCACCTGGAGAGGAGCTGGGCGCAGAGCACAGCGGAGGTATCGGGAGCCTGGTGGCGTGGGACATTTACCAGATGTAAGCTCCTCACTCCTCCCCACTGGCTCCTCCCCAGGGTAAGGCAAGGCAAGGTAGGAGCGGGGATAGGGGCTGGGGCAGAGTGCCTCCTTGTGGGGAACTACTCTAGCTGTTTTTTTTTACCTTGTTGTGGCTGGAATCTGCCACGTCTTCTGCTGCATCTGGTGTGCCGAGACATTCATTTAGTTACCAGCTGAGTGGGGGAGGAGTTCCCAGCCCCGGCCCCGGCCCTGGCCCTGGGAAGGGATCAGGGGGCCACAGAACTACATCTTGCAGGGGGTCCCCAAAGATTTTTGGCTGGCCCTGCATGTGATTTCCCTCTCATACAAGTTTTACACCACTGTAAGTTTCTATTTTTCAATTAAGTCACTGCTGATTTTCAAAGGCATAGAAGAAAAGAAAATATGGGCCTATAAACACCATAGAAGGAAACCATTGCATGTAAGCAGTTTACATGACTTCTAAAAGTGCACAGAACTCTTTTACTGCTTTCTTTATTTTACTTTTCTTTGGCACAAAGTTTGGGTAAAGCTATTTAATATGTAAGTACCTATAGGAGTTTTTTCATCAATACACACTCAAGTACTGCAGTTATGCTGGTATCTGATTTTGTGTGAGGGGAATCAGAACCTAACCCTCCAGCTGTTTGTGGCAAGTGACAATTTTAACTCTTAAATCTGTTCATGAATGTATAATAACCCTGTCCCGGGGATAGGAAGAAGAGGGACCAGGAAGCCCCACCCATGGGGCACAGTATGGGAAGAAACATGAAAAGAAAGAAAGAAAGAAATACAAAATGATTACTTACCTGCAGGAGGAGTGACACCAGAGGATCAAAAAAAAGAGCCCGCACGGTTTACAAGCCACAACTTTATGCAATTAAAGCCGGTGGGTGATGTCATGAAGATGTACCAGCTGGCAGGGATAAAAGCAGCCACTGGCAGTAATGTGAGGAGAGCCAGTGAGGAGGCGGAGGCTCTCTGTGCCGGCAGCAGACAAAGCTGGCATGAACTAGGAATGCCTGGATGACAGGCGGCTGCTGAATCAGCAAGGCTTTACCCCTGCTTGACAGGGGCACCCATACCGACCCCAGGAATAGAGCCGGCTAGCAAACAATACATAAGAGTGCTTAAGCAGAACTCAATTACTATTCAAGTGGTCATATGTTTGTTACACTGTTAACGGGAACGGACTGAAGTGGCACACTCATGGACCGAAACAGCGTACTCATGGACTGAAGTGGTGCGCTCATGGATTGCTACACCTTAGAGGGAACATTGCACCTGAGGATAGGCTGGTGATACAGGCTGACCTGGATAGGCTTAGAAAGTGGGTGGATATAAACCTGATGACATACAATACTGACAAATGCAAGATGCTCCATCTCAGGGAAAAAAACTGGCAGCACGCTTACAGGCTTGGTAGTGCTACACTCACTAGCACCGCAGCTAAAAAGACTTGGGGGGTCATGATTGACCACAAAATGAACATGAGCCACCAATGCGATGTCAAAACTGGTAAAGCAAACAAAACTCTGGCTTACATCCATAGATGCTTCTCAGCTAAATCTCAGGATGTCATCCTCCCACTGTACTCGGCCTTGGCAAGGCTGCCGCTGGAGTACTGCATCCAGTCCTGGGCTCTGCAATTTAAAAAGGATGTGGAGAAGCTTGAGAGAGTCCAGAGTAGAGCCACGTGTATGATCAGAGGGCAGGAAAACAGGCCCTATGATGAGAGATTGAGAGCCATTGGACTCTTCAGCCTGGAAAAGTGCAGGCTCAGGGGAGACCTGGTGGCTGCCTATAAGTTCATAAGGAGTGTGTATCAGGATCTCGGGGAACGCCTGTTCACCAGAGTGCCCCAAGGGATGACAAGGTCCAACAGTCACAAACTCCTCCAAGACTGTTTTTGGCTGGATGTCAGAGGGCACTAAGGTGCCTGCTCCTTTAAGGGCAGAAACTGCCTAGGGAGAGAGCCGTAGCAGTCAGTTAGGAACCCCTCAACTGCAGGTTACCATGGCAGCAGGGATGAGGGGATTAGCCTGCACCTGCAGGTGGTCAGCTGACCAAAAGAGGCAGGGCCCAGGGCATATATAAATCCCAGGGCTGGGACCAGAGAGGAAGTTCTCTGTCAGCAGCCAAGGGGGAAGGAGCTCTCCTGGAGGAAGCCAAATGGAGATACTGTCTGTGCTACTTCTGGTAGGATTAAGAGGCTCCAGGAGCTCACCAGGGTCCCTGGCCTGCAAGACATTTAGTGCTATGGGGGGAAGTTTAATGTTTTAAAGGGACAGAGCACCCCCTGAACTGATTGCATTATGTTATAGCTCAGGGGCTTATATTTTGATTCCTGTTTGTAGACCAGAGGATCAGGCTGAAGCTATTGGGGAAGGTGGAGGACTCACTGGGGGCCCACTACAGTGTGGGGACCCTGGCGCCAGAGAGGGCGCCATGTCAAGTGTGGGGAGTGAGCGGACCCCAGTGCCAGAGAGGGTGGAGTGTCGGGTGGGTGAGTGGACCCCAGCACCAGAGAGGGCGCAGTTACTGAGGCCAGACTAAGCTGAGGCCTCAATACAAGGAGGCAACAGCTGTGTACCATCCGTGAGGCTTGGAGCGTGGTAAAGCAGCAGTTTAGAGTCACGCATCTAGCCCATAAGGCTGAGGGTGTCCTATAAGGCATCCATTCTGGAGCAGGACCCAAAAGGGGTCTGAGAACCTACAGGGTTCTGTGGAGTCCATCAGGGCCATATCCAAAATATAAATTTAAGGGCAGCCTCCCTATCTATCACAGTGACAGAAAGACATGGCAGGAAAGAAAGAGGGTGCTCATGGGGCAGGATTGGCATGGTCAGGGAGCCCTAAGGGTACCACAGCCATCCCTGGGGACCCCATCCTGTGACACTGGACATAAGGAAAAACTTCTTTACCATCTGAGCCCTCAAGGCCTGGAATAGACTCCCTCCAGAGGTGGTGCAAGCATCTACTCTGAACTCTTAAGAAACATTTGTACACTTATCTTGCTGGGATCCTCTGACCCTAACTGACTTCCTGCCCCTGGGCAGGGGGCTGGACTCGGTGATTTTCTGAGGTCCCTTCCAGCCCTAATGTCTATGAAATCAACATGCTGTCTAGTCTAGGGATTGGGTTCCTCTTGGGTGAGAGAAGAAGTAACTACCACACCTAACCATTTGTAAGTACAGCCACTTTTGTTTCTTAAGTGCATGTGTTTGGCCAGGATGCCCCTTGGGTATGTGCTAAATACCTAACTTGACTACCTTTGAGTTGCATCATGAAATTACAAGAGTTTGTTTATATCACATCCTATAATACATACAGGCATAACAATGACAAAACTGAACACTGCTTCACACTAGCTACAAATAGAGACCAAACACCACAGGGGTAAATCTAATTTGGGAAAATATCCATGTATGCCACATTGTGAACCCTAAAGGCACCTTGGTTTTGGAGTGAATCCATAACACTAGGAGCAATGGTCTCAAGTTGCAGGAAGGAAAGTTTAGGATGGATATTAGGAGTGAAGCACTGGAACAGGTTACTTAGGAAGGTGGTGGAATCTCCATCTTTGGAGGTTTTTAAGGCCCAACTCAACAGAGCCCTGGCTAGAATAATCCAGTTGGAGATGGTCCTGCTTTGAGCAAGGTGTTTGACTAGATGATATCCTGAGGTCCCTTCCATCACTAATTTTCCATTATTCTCTGACCATTCCCTTTCTGTTCCTGCCTGAATGCTCTAGATCCAGAAATGCACCAGTAAATATGCTCCAGATTACCCCTCTGCATCTGCTCTTGAGACCTATGAGGCCAAAACTCCCTTTCACCTCTAAACATAAATACATTGCTGTGGTTATAGTTTGTTAGTTAATTTGGTGCTATTATTGATCTATATTGAAAAAAATATAAGAAATCATAACACTGACAGCGGTATGGGGGGTGTTTCCCATATAGAAATGAAACCACTGGTGTCATGACAGTTGAAGTGCGACCTAGTATGACTGGAAGAGCATGTTCAACAGTCAGGAAGGTGAGTTTTATAGTTCAAAAAGCTCATTTGGATAAAATCTAGTGGTCTTACATCTTAGATTCTTAGGGTGAGTCTCTCTTCCTTCGACATCAACTGGAATTTTATTATTGATGTTACCAGGACCCTAACTTTACCCAGATTTAGAGATATAGATAGAGATATATGCCAGTTTATGCATACACCACCCACCTACACATAGGTGAGTTTCTAACTTGGGTGGTATGGGGTGTATGTGTCTGCTTAGGGTACTTGGGATACCTAGAGTGCTTTGACTATGGGAAGGGGAATGGGTCAAAGATCTCCAGAAGGACGGGAAGGAGGGAGATGTATGGGGGGTTAAAATGAGAGAATGAAAGTTGCTGGGGCCAGAATTAGAACTGGAAGACTGGAGGCGAGCTGGGGTTACTTAAGGTCAAGTGGCCCAGGGTTACTTGAAGTCACTGGTGCAAGCTGTGGCAAGGAGAAAACAGCCAGGAAAGAGAGAGAGAGAGAGAGAGAGAGAGGCAGAAAGCTGAGAGATCAGGGGGCAGATAAGTGGTGGCAAGGAGGAAACAGTCAGGAAACCCAACTCAGGGTTTCAAAATAACAGGTTTATTAAACAGATATCACACTACACAGCCCTGTGAAGTTATTGGTTCCTGCGCATGCACTCACAATGGTAGGAGGACAAAGAGTCAGTGGAGGGGTTGAAGTCCAGATAGGGAAGAGAAACAGAGTCCAAGTCCTTGGTTGAAGAGAGAGTGGGGGCAATAGCTACCTATCCAGGCTGGAAGGGGGTCCTCAGTGACCAGTTGGGGTCTTTGTCCAGCAGGGCCTCTGGGGTGGATAGGTGGTGTGGCATGGTGCTGGTCCAGATGAAGAGGGCATCCCAAGGAATCAGTCTTCACTATCCCTTTTTATGGGGCAGACTACCTATGAGGAGAGCACGTCCAGGCAAAGTCCTATTCCAGGTAGTTCCAGATGTTCATATTGAGTATGTGCAGCCTTGGCACAATGGTGGGTTGGCTGGTTTCTGCAGCAGTCTTTGTCTTCCAAATCTTGAGCCAGGGAGGGTCAATGCAGGGTGATGGCTGGGTCCTCGAGTTGATGGTTTGACCATTCAGAGGGAGCTATTTTTTAGATCTACTAACATTGTTTCTTAAACACCTCATTCATCCCCATTCATTCAGGAACCAATTTACATCGGAGGGGTAGGTATGAGTCACACAGTTACAATAGGCTATGCCTGGGCAGGGGACACAAGATGGAGACTTGACATTACTTTACAGACACAGGCCTAAACCATACAGTGTTAATATGAAATAGAAATCAATGCAAAATACAATATAGAAGGGGGGGAAAAAAACATCAATATAAACATAACAGAATAATATTTACAATATAAGTGGGGCTTATTACAATAATAGCATACAAGAACTTAGCCTAGCTTACCTAGTATTACTTGTAATCACTTATAAGGGCTAGAGAAAGCAGAGAGAAAAAGTCAGAAATGGTTAGGGGAAGGGGAGGGAGCATATTTTTAAATACTAATAAAAAAAAAAGCAAAACTGGGGGGGTTTGCTACACTGAGAAAGTGTTCAGGAGTGATAAGGGACAAAATGGATCTCACATAAGAAAGGAATCATTGAAAGAAGTAGAGTTCTATAGAACTGTCCCAAAAGCTAAATGAAGCAGCAGGACCTATCAGCATAAAACTCTCAGATATCCTTCCTTGGCTGGGATAATAACAGCTTGGAAAAAGCTGTCCTACAGTCCCAAAAGAATGTTTAAAAAAAAAAAAATCAAGAATTTGTCCAAATGTAAAAGCTGGGTTCTGGAAATATGCGTGATGTCTCAGTGTCATGCTATGGAAGCAATGCTGCAGTCAGACACACTGTATTCACTAATTGTCTAAGGAGCTCAGATGTCCTTGATAGGTGGAGTCTGTTTAAGTGTTCTATTCATCTTTTAATGTAAAAGGGCATTAATAGAAAAACAGGTTTAAAAATGTGTTTATTTTAAAAAGTCATTTAATATAATAAGGTATAAACACATTTGTCATTGCTGGCTTAGTTGCAGCAGATACATATTTTGATTAATATCAAATTGATTTATACATGCGTTTATGCTGCTATCCATTGCAACATGGTCTGATTTTTTTTTTTTAAACTGAGTTATTGTATGTAAATACATACCAGAGATGGACTATAAATAATCACTATGTGGAGCTATATACATACATAACCCCCACTTAGCGCTCTTAAATTGGTTCCTGAAAAAACAAGCATTAAGCAAAACCAAGTGTTAAGGAAAACCAACTGTCACTTTCCACTTTCTAAAGCCACCAGAATCACTTTCCAAGCCACCAAAATCACCAGAATCAGGGCTCTCAGGATTAATGTCAGTTTCAGTGCCAGGTGTATGATGCCTGTGAGTGTTATAATGAAACTCACTGAGCGCTAAGTGTAATCAGGCATCAATGTAAAAAGAGCATTATAGGCGAAATAGCGCTAAGTAAAACAGCGTTAAGTAGGGGTTGCCAAATACATGTCATGGATCTGTTTTAATTTATTTATTTTCAGCTGTCTCATTTATTTGTTGGGTGTCCTCCATCAAGACATATTGTCATTCAAAAGTAAGTTTTAAAGATCCCTTTTCTACTCCTTGTTTGTTTCATTTCATTTGGGATTAAAATAAATGTTGATAAGGTAGCAATATTTGTCTAAATATACTTCAGTTGGTCCATCTGGAAAATGTTTTTCTTTCTAATTAGAAGGAAAAACCTGAAGACGACCTGAAGAGGGTCACTTTGTGCCTGAAAGCTTGTCCAATCTCTCTCCCAGGTACACAGGAGATGATAGAAGATGCACCCTGGAGCCCATGAAACTCCATTCTGCAGACATCCACTCCAAATACCTGGGCAGGTTAGGGCATCAGTTGGGCTACTCTGACATTAGCAAAAGCTCCCAAAGACCTGTCTGTCACTGCAACTTAGCAAACCACAGTGGCACACTCAGATTCAACCCTCTCGTTCCCCCTTGGCCTGGTCCCTATGCCATGATTTTGAGAGGATTGTAGAAAAAGGAGGGAAAAAAAAAAACACCACACACACAGCTAGAAGGGATGACCAATGGTTATCTAGTCCATCCAGGCAGGATCATCCCTAACTAAACCATCCCAGCCAAGTGCCTGTCTAACCTGCTCTTGAAAAATGTCCAAGAATGAAGATTCCACAATTTCTCAAAGTAACCCGTTTCAGTGCTCAACTCCCCTCATAGAAAGCTCCTCCAAATCTCCAACCTAAATTTCTCCAGCTACATCTTGAGGCTATTGCTTCTAGTCCTGTCTCCTACAGCCACAGAGGCAGAGGCCATTTCCATCCTCTTTGTAATTTGCCCTTCAGGTATTTGAAGACTTATCAAATTCTTTCTCAGTCTTCTCTTCCCCAGAGTAAGTAACTCTAGTTATTTCAGCCTTTCCTCATAAGTCTTGCTTTCCAGGCCCTTGATCATTTTTGTTGCTCTGCACAGGACTCATTTAGATTTATCTCCACTCTTCTCAAAGTGTGGGGCCCAAAACTGGAGACAGTACTGCAGGTGAGGCTTCACTAGGGCTGAATAGAGCAGAAAAATCGCTTCCCTTGATTTGCAAGTGATATTACTGTTAATACAGCCTAGGATGCCAATGGACTTCTGTTGCAAAAAAAAAAAAAAGGCACTCCATTGGCTTTTTTTCACCTTGTGCTCTACTGCAGCCCCCAGGTCCTTCTCTGTAATACTGCAACCTACCCAGTCATTTCCCAGTCCATATTTGTGCATGCAGTTATTCTATCCCACGTGTAGGACTTTGCACTTGTATGTGTCGAACCTCATCTGATTGATTTCAGACATTTCTCCTGTCTGTTCAGGTCATTCTGGATCCTAGCCTTACCCCCCCAGAATATCTGCAACTCCACCCAACTTGGTATCATCCACAAATTTGCTAAGCATATACTTGATCCCATCCTCCAAATCATTAATGAAGATATTAAACAATATCAGACCCAGAACAGACCCCAGGGGAACCTCACTTGATACCTCCTGCCAATAAGACATTGAACCATTGATGACTACTCATTGAGTATGATGATCCAATCAGTTATGTATATACCTTACTCTACTTTCATCCAGTCTGCTTTTCTTTAGCTTTTAAATGAGAATGTTGTGAGACATGCTGTTAAAAGCCTTGCTAAAAGTCAAGGCATATTAGACCCACTGCTCTCCCTCCATCCACAGGGCCCGTCACCTTATCACAGAAAGAAATAAGGTTCGTCAGTCATGACTCTTCTTGGTGACTACATGCTGGCTGTTCCTGGTCACTTTTTCCCCCCCCTTCCAGGTGCTTCACAATAGATTCCTGGAGGACCTGCTCCATGATCTTTCTAAATACTGAGGTCAGGCTGACCAATCTGCAGTACCCCTGAAAGTCCTTCTTCCCTTCTTTAAAAGATGGGCACTAGATTTGTCTCTTTCAGTCATCCAGGACCTCATGCGACCTTGAGGTTTCTCAAAGGCTCTGAAATTAGCTATTTCATTCAGTATCCTACAGTACATCTTATCTGGCTCTGCTTACTTGAAAGTATCTGGCTTCTCTAATGACTCCCTAACCTGTTCTGCCATTCCTCTTGGCCGTTTGTCTCCTTCCCTATCTTTGCTGCCAAAGATTGCAATTGGTATTGGAACACCAATTGACTATGCAGGATTTATGTAAATAGGGAGATTTTTTTCTGCTCAGGAAATTCACAGCTAGCCAGACAGACAGTGAGTGTGGCCCCATTCTGTTGCCTGAGAGGAGAGCTAAATCAAGAAAAATAAAATCAGGCCTATATCCTGTCAGATATCAAAGCTATAGGGAAAACATTTGCTGTGAATAGAGCTCAAAGCACCAAAATATAGGTCAGATATTGTAAAACTAATGGCAGTTTCTCACACCATATAAATGAAGAGTTCACTCATATTTTCATACATTGTTTTAATCTTAAATCTAAAACCTTAAATTATACCATTCATCTATTTTTTTCCATCTTTCCACAGACCTCCAGGTATAACCTGTATCAAACATAATTTTACTTCTTACAAGTTACCTGGGTAAGAATTTTTACTAATAATAATAATAATAATAATAATAATAGAGATATACAAAGAAGACTAGGCTTTTTAGATATGGCCTCCTTCACTTTCATGTAGAACTGTTTTAATTTAAACAAATTTAATTATAAAATTATAATTTTTCAATATGTCTACATTCAAATGCAATCTTCTTCTCTTTCAAACAAGAAATATAGTAAAATATAGTACAAATTACTTTAAACAAGTTAGTATCCTTTTAAGGAATGCGTAAAATACTATCAACTTGAAACTAAGGCAAGCAATACCACATAAGGGGTATGTCTACACAAGTACTTACTTCAGCCTAAGTTTACTCTGGCATAAACTACTCTGGAGTAAATGTTTTTGGGCAGGCGTCTACGCATGCAGGAATTAAGGAGCAGATTTGCTGCTCTTTGCACCAAGTTTCCTGCAGCCCCACAATGGGCCCCTGCCACCACAAGGGGGAGCTCCAGGCTCCTTCTGGCTGCTAGCACAGCTGTCTCCTGGCCCCGGAGGGCTGCCTGCTGCTAGGGCAGGGACAGTGTCCCCCTGCCCGGGCAGCAGGGAGCTCCTAGCCCTAGCTCCCCAATCAGAGGCATGGGGCTTGGAAAGAACTGCAGGGAAGGGAAGGTCCCAGCCCCCTGCCCTGATCAGTGGGTCAGGCAGCTAGCAGCTAGCTCCCCCACTAGTGGATCAGGGCAGGGGGCTGGGACTTACTCCACCCCTCCAGCCCTTTCCAAGCCCCATGCCTCAACCACCAAACTGGGGCATGGGGCTGGGACCTGCCCCAGACTGGGACAGTTCCCAGCCAGCCCCAGGTTGTATAGTAAAGTCTGCATGTGCAGCCCAGAGCTGGCTTGGGACTACCCAAAATAGGACAGTCCCCAGCCACATCCAGGCTGTTTGTGCTTTCTGGGGCTGGCTGGGAACTGTCCCAGTCAGGCACAGGGCCCAGCCAGCTCCAGACTGGATGGGAACTGTCCCCAAGTAGGGAGCTCCCAGCCCCTGCTCTGTGATCACAGTTGCTGGAGAGCTTGTTCCCAGCCCCCACTCCATTATTATGGAATAGGGGCTGAGAACAAACTCCTAGCCTGTTCCCAGCCCGAGCTCTATGATGGCAATCAGGGAGCAGGGCCTGGGAGCTCCCTGCTGCCAGAGCATAGAAACATTGTCCCCACCTAGGCATGAATGGTGGGGGCTGAGGAGCTCGTTTCCCACCCAACTCTGAGCGTGGAGCTGGGCAGGGAACAGGTTCCCCAGCCCCCACCAGCAGAATGCTTCCAGCACCAGCTCCAGAACCATGGGAGCACTGATGGAAGATGCTTCTCTCCCAGCCAGGGAAGGGGGACATAGTCAGAGCCTGGGCTCCTGTGGCAGAATCTGCTCCAGCAGCAGGCTGCTCCTGTGGGCAGGGAGCTATTTCCCACCCCCTGGTGGACAGCTGACCAGGAGCAGATTTTGCTTCTTGTCAGGTGTCTACATGAGCACTACTGCACCTTTACTAATCTCAAGTAAATTTGCTACTTGAATTTACAAGTAGCAAAGTTACTTGGGATTAGGGAGGTTTACTGCATAGTAAGCACGTGCACAGTAAACTATACTAATGGAAAGTTAAGCATTTCATATAGACACGCCCAGTTAGAAGTGCTTTGTTACAACACCAGCCTGTGAGCCTCAAAAAATTCAGAAACTATTTTTGTTTTATTCTCTATCATGTCAGTATCCAAAAATACTGATGCAGAAAGAAGAAAAACCTTATCTTTCACTTGCAGAAATTATTGGGATTTTTGTCATTGATTTGAGTGAAAACAGGATCAAATCTACGTTATAAAGGGAACCAGTGAAACTGACTGAACAAAAAGAGTGAAATCCTGGTCCCAATAAAGTCAATGATTAAACTCCCACTGAATCAGTGGGTCACTATTTTACCCAATAGACTGTCAATGCACAGTGTAAAGCTACTGTGGATAGAAAGGAAGAGGAGTTTTCTGCTCTTTGTAGTCTTTAGTTTAGCACTTCCCAAACAGTGTGCTGCAGCACACTGGTGTGCCATCAGGCATGTCCAGGTAAGCTGCGGCATTTTGGGGTGGAGCCACAACCTCCACCTACTGCTGCTGTCCGTCTGGCCGCGCACCACCCCTCCCCAGTGTTTAGCTGGCCATGTGCCATGCCCCTCCCCCCCCCCCCCCCCCCCCCCCCCCCCCCCCCGGCAA